GCTCACCAGGCAGCCCTGGACAGGGCTCTTTCTGCCCTGGTGTAGAGACCTGGGCAATGGCTGCAGCCTGGAGGTAGGTGCCGACCCAGTGCTCCACCGTCTGAGCAGGGAAGGCCAGAGCAAGAGTCAGAGACAGCCAGGACTGCTTTCACTTACTATTTGAGCTGCATCAAGGACAGTCCCAGTGTGGACCTCATGGCACTGGCTGGTGGAGGGGATTCACTGGCAGACAGACGGCCACACAAGCAGCCTGGAATAGGAAAAGGGGCCAGGCCCCACGTGAGCAGGCAGAGGAAGGTTGCTATGGTCAGGGATGCCAAGAAGTACAGCCCCCGCACGGATGGCTTGGGAAGGCCAGGTGGCAGGGGAGTGTGCTGAGGGGAAGGGCCTGGGTCTGCTGCCCACGCCCCTGTCGGCCTTCCTGAGCCTTCCTGCCCTGACGTGGGAGGGCCTGGGTGTCTGTTCTCTGACAAGGGCCCTGGGGGATTCTGAGGCAAGTGTCTGCAGACTGCACTTTGGAGCCACTGCCTTGAACATCTCACTTCCCCGCTGGGCCTCAGTTTGTTCATCTGTGAAATGAGCAGGTTGGATTGTGTCTCTTCCACGTGTAGAAACCTGATTTGAACCCTCCTTCTCGTGCCTCGCGCTGGCATCATTTGCCCGAGCGCTTTGTGGACGCCGTCCACCCTCTGAGGTGTTAAAGCAGACACGTTTGGATACACGGTTTCCAGGCAAGTTTGTGACCTGGTCTGCTCCCAGGGCTCCCAAATCTCCCCCTGCTCCCGCCCCCCACCAGCCTTTTCCGGGTTCGCATGGGCGCTGACCTCAGGCACCCCTCCCTCCCATCTCTCCCTCAGGTCTCGGCCTCCCCAGACCCCAGCTCTCCTAGAGAAGAGGAGCCCCCTCTGCTCTCCAGAGCCCACCTCCAGGCAGGGCTGCGCCGACACAGACGCTGGGCTCTCACTGAGCCAGCAGCCCTGACCCTGGACAAGACCTCCTTGCCCGGGACCCTGGAGGACGCTCCCTTGCTGCTGGAGCTGCAGAAGCTGCCGGGATTGGCCAACACAGACTTGAGTGCCCCAAACCCCAATATCCAGGTGAGAGCTACAGGGGGGCCGTGGGCCCAGTGGACACCTGGAGAGAAGCTGGGCTGAAGAGCTCAGCTCTGAAGTCAGGCGTCCCATCCAGTATTGCTTGGAGGGCAGGGGTCCTGTGCAGGTCGGAGAAGGTGACAGCCCCCGCCCTGCCTGTGGAGCAGTGGATGGTGGCCTGCCCACCAGAGGGGCTTTATGGGAAAGAAAACTAGAGGGGTTGATGGAATTCCAGTTTACATACTCCACCATCAGTCCCGAATCCCTAATGACAATAATTCCTGCATTTTGTGTACCATCTATAGCTTACAAAACACTTTCACCAAAAGAGAAAACAGGTCACAAAAATATAGAACACACAACATTCTAAAGTTGTTTAAAAGTGTGTGTGTGTGTGTGTGTGTGTGTGTGTCTATATATCTAAACTTGGAAGGTTAATCACCAAAATGTTACCTGAGATGGAATATGGGTGATTTCCATTTTCTTCTTTAAATTTTGCTTGTTCTTTTCCCCAAATTTTGTTCTGTGACCTCCTATCGCTTTGTAATAGCCCAAAGTGACGTTTTTAAAGTTCACTTTCACATAAATGGTTTCACGTTACTTCTTTCCTGTCCACGATGTAGTGGGCGAGAGCCTCCCCAGGGCTGTTGTGCGGATCTGCTGTCATTTGGTCTCATTTTCCGGCCCTAGAATGAGGAAATGGAGATTCAGGGCCGTCCGTGGCCCCAGCAGTTGCGCAGCCTGTGGGCTGGTGGAGCCAGAATTCAAGGCCAGCTTTTCTTAAATGAGTGGGTCTCCACCCTGGCACGTGTTAGGACCACTACGCCTGGCCCTACCTCACACACCAGTTAAACCCGTGTCTGGGGTGGGGTCAGGGGCTCAGGAATCTCCAGCAGATTCTGATGCACGGCCAGGTCTTACACTGTGACCCTCTGTGCCCGGGGAGACCAAGAAGGTGGACCAAAAGAATGGGCTGGTTTGGAGAAAAGGTCAGGCCTCTCCACCTGCCCCTGCCCCTCCCCCCAGGCTTGTCCTCTCCCCTGCCTCTGGAGTCTGGCTCTGAGCCCTCCCTCACTGGCCGGGTGTGTCTGTACCTCTGCAGGTGACCATCGAAGTGGTGGAGGACCCCCAGGCTGAGGTGGAGATGGACCTGCTGGCTGAGCCTAGCAATCGCTGGTCCCAGGGGGCCCCCAGCTGGCTGCCGGCCAAGGAACTCTTCTGGCCCCTATTCTGGGGCTACCTGGAGGGCGAGGAAGGGAGGCCCGGTCTCAAGGGCAGAGCCGCGGGGGAAGAGGAGGATTACCCTCCAGAGTACCGTGAGAGTGAGGACCAAGAGGACCACGACGAGGAAGACGACGAGGACCAAGAGCATGGGTTCAGTGGGGCCGCAGGAGGCTGGGAGCGGGGCTGGCTGTCCCCCGGGGACCGGGCCTTCAAGGAGCCTGATAGCTCCGGTGAGCTCCCCCATCTTGACATCCCCGGCCCTGGGGGTCCTGAGTGGAAATGGGGGTGAGAGCTTCCCGGGCAGGGGCAGCTGGGGAGGCCTGGAGCCTAGGCCTGTGCAGACACCATCATCAGGCAAGCATTACCCATAGCTTGCAAAGTTTGTTTGTTTGTTTTTCAAACATTTGACCCTCACAACAGCCCTGAGATCCCCTAAGCAGAACAGACATTTGTTAATAATATATATATATTCATATCCGTTTCCAACAAATTAAGAAATATTATAAATCCCACCACTCACAACTGACCTCACCTTCAGATTGTGGGAGTTTGAACCCTGGGTCTGCTGCTTACCAGTGAGTGACCTTGGGCAGGTTAACCTCTCTGGGCCTCAGTTCCTTCTCTAAAATGGACATGGGCACAACCCTGACTACGTAGAATTGGGTGTAGAGGGTAGTAAGTGAGTTAGTACTTTTTTTTTTTTAAGATGTTGGGGGTAGGAGTTTATTAATTAATTTATTTATTTTTGCTGTGTTGGGTCTTCGTTTCTCTGCGAGGGCTTTCTCTAGTTGTGCCAAGCGGGGCCACTCTTCATCACGGTGCGCGGGCCTCTCACTATGGCGGCCTCTCTTGTTGCGGAGCACAGGCTCCAGACGCGCAGGCTCAGTAGTTGTGGCTCACGGGCCTAGTTGCTCTGCGGCATGTGGGATCCTCCCAGACCAGGGCTCAAACCCGTGTCCCCTGCATTAGCAGGCAGATTCTCAACCACTGCGCCACCAGGGAAGCCCGTGAGTTAGTACTTTTAAAGTGCCAGTACATAATAAAGTATTGGCTATTACTGTTTTTTTAGAAAGCAACATAACAACGTAGACTATTCAGAAAATATCGCCTAAAGCCTGTCCCCCGCCCCATGACAGGCATTTTTATTTTTGCATATTGCAGTTTCAATTTTCCCTGGGTACAGACATGTTTCACACACAGTTACAGCACTTCTCCCCAGAGCCCTGGTGTCTCATCGTTGGTTCAGACTAAGTCGTAGCAGGCTTTTTCCATTTCACCAAAGTCATGTAAGCTAACAGGCAGAATTTTCATGACTTTCAGCTTTTCTTCCATTGATTTTCCTTAAACACTTGGTACCAGCCTGCTCAGGCCTGCCTGGGAAGCGGGGAGAGAGCTGGGTGTGTGTGTCAGTACTTTGGGGGTTCCACAGAGAGCCCTGGGTCTCAGGCCCATGCAGCCAAAGGCCTGTGGGTACTGTCATGGTGCATTTTGGGTCCCTCAGACCAGGACGTGGGGAGCAGGGACATTCTTTAATACCCCCAGTGCCAGGGAAGTATTGTCACTCTTGGTTTTGATTGGCACAAAAACTGCAGCTCAGAGATGTCGGGGGACTTGCCCAAGGTCCCCTCAGCAGTGGTCAGGTGGCCTCCAGGTGGCTTTACCTCTTCGTTGCTGTGTGGGCACAGAGTGGGTGGCTGGGAGTTGTGACACCTCCTGCATTTGCCCGGGTGTTCACTGCACAGGGGTACCCAGATGAGCAGACTAGTGGGGCTGAAATTCAGCCCATGCTCCGTCCGCTAGGGGCGTCCTGGCCCGGGGCGGATCCTCCCAAGGAAGGGGTGCCTTCTGCTAATTCGCAGCAAGGCACCCCGTGGGCTCTGCTCCCTCACCCCTGGCTCCCTGCCTTGACGCAGACCCAGCTTCAAGAGGAATGGAGCCCCTGGTCTCCCTGCAGTGGGAGCCGCGGCAGCGGCAGCGGCAGCCAGCAGAGGACTCGGCCCTGTGGCTACACCTGCACTGCCACTGAGTCCCGTGCCTGCAACCTGCCCCCCGTCCTGGTGAGATGAGCCGCAGCTCCTGCAGACGGAGCGGCTTACACGCTGGACTTGGCCCCCTGGGAATGTGGGCGTGTAAGCCCACATAGGGTGGGCTTGGGAGAGGGGAGGCAGGAAGCTCACACACACGGTGGTCCTGCCCTGTGCCAGGCCTGTCCCAGATGCCGCGGGCACCGAGAGCCTAGTGAGGGCTGGGCTCCCATCGGGAGCACAGAGGTGCCCTGCGGCACCACCAGCCTGGCCTCCTCTCTTCCCAAAGGCGCTGAGGACAAGGACCCCTTGGGCTTCCCCAGTGAGGGGTGGCGGCCCCTGGCCCACAATTCTACGGACATGCTCAGCCCAGGTCAGTGGGGGGCTAGGCCCTGCCCCTGGGGGTTTGGGGGAAACCTCTCTCGGGAGGGTGGAGCCTCACCGCGCGGGCAGGAATCTTGCCTCCATCCACTGAGGCAGAGGGTACATCTTCCAGGTGGAAGGTTAGCCTCCCCAGCAAGGGGACCGTAACATTTCCAAACCCCCTAGCCGGGCCCATTGGCCTTTCCCAGCCTGATATTCCTGCTGGGAAGAAGGTCTTGAGGGGAGCCCAGAGATTGGAGACCATCTAGTGGGGCGTACGCTCCCTGGCAGCAGGATAGGCTGGGGACATTCTGGCTTCCACTCCCTGGTCACTCTTGGAGGCTCCTGGCAGGCTCTGTCTGGGGAGCAGTTGCCCTCAAAAACAGGTCAGGGTCCAGAGCTCCAGGACTGCCCCTTCCGGCAGCTTGGAGCGGGCGTGCTTTCCCCAGCACACTCCACATCTGTGTCTCTTGCACCCCACAAGGAGGCAGGCAGCTGCCCACAGCCCCCTTGCAGATGGGTCCTATGCTCAACGCCACAGAAGCTCACTGAGCCGGGAGGGTGCACCCGGCCCTGTGTGGGGCAGGGGATTCCCAGAAGACCAAGCCCAGTCCCTGCCCTCAAGGGGCTCAGGTCTTCGGGGGAAAGACACACACAACCAACTTAGGTACAGCACTGCCAAGTGGGCCCAAGGGTCTGCAGCAAAGAGGGAGGAGCAGTTTGTTCTGGGTGGCCAGGGTCAGAGGCCACATTTTCCAAGGTAGGGAGATGGGGGGAGGGCAGCATAGACAGAGGGGTCACAGGGGGCCCAGAAAGACAGAGTGAGCCTAAGAAAGGCAAAGTTAAGAACAAGAATGGGCCAGTGGTGAAAACAGTGAAACATTTTCTTACCAAGAGGCTAAAACTGCTGTCCCTGCCCCCACCCACCCCAGCTCATTCCCCACGATCCCAGGATCTTTCCCGCCATCCAGCATCTAAAGGGACAAGGCCTAGCTCCGCAGAGGGGCTGTAGGCCCCTCCTCCAGCCCCTTGGCCAATGTCCATTCGGCTACGGCCTGTTGCTTCAGCTTGCCTGGGTGGTGTGTGGTTGCCCGTATCTGTTAACAGCGGCGGCCACGTCAGACTGCCCCCCGCTCTGGTGTGGGTCCTTCCCCTCCTGCCCCTACGGCCCTACCAAGGCACAGCTTTGCACCAGCTGGGGCCTAGGCCTTCCCCCTCCATGCATTGGCCCTTGACCAGTCCCCCCCACCCCAGGGGCTGACCGGTCCCCTTCCCACGCTCCCCTGCCCTCTGCAGATGTGGACAGCTGTGAGAAGTGGCTGAACTGCAAGAGTGACTTCCTAGCCAAGTACCTGAGCCAGGTGCTGCGGGACCTGCCCAGCTGCCCGTGTGCGTACCCGCTGGAGGCCGTGTCCAGCGCCGTGAGCCTGCAGGACGAGCACCAGGGCCGCAGCTTCCGGTGGAGGGACGCCAGCGGCCCACGCGAGCGCCTGGACGTGTACCAGCCCACGGCCCGCTTCTGCCTGCGCTCTCTGCTGTCCGGGGAGAGCAGCACGCTGGCCGCCCAGCACTGCTGCTACGACGCGGGCAGCCGGCTGCTGACCCGAGGCAAGGGCGCCGGCGCGCCCGACCTCGTCAGCACCGACTTCTCGCCCGAGCTGCACTTCAAGGTGGACACGCTGCCCTGGATCCTGTGTAAGGGGGACTGGAGCCGCTACCACGCCGTGCGGCCCCCGAACAATGGCCGGGCCTGCACGGACAACCCCCCCGAGGAGGAATACCTGGCGCAGTTGCAGGAGGCCAAGGAGTTCTAATGAGGGCTGCTGTGCTGGAGAACTTTCCTCACGGGCCGCTCACCCTGCCTGGCCCAGACCTGGTGAGGCCAGTCTGGTGCCTCGAGCCCTCTGCCTTTGAACCTGAGGCGGGGAGGTCAGCACCCCAGGTGTTGGTGTGGGGTTGGGGAAAAGGTTGAAGAGTGTAAAAGGCCCAGGGTGAGAGGAGGGAGCTCAGCTCCCAAGGCCCCCGGAGCTGCCCCGAGATGCGTAGCTGTGGCGGCCTTACCTCTTGCCCGCTGGGAGGCGCTGTCGCAGCCTGGACACCCATTGTCCTCCTTCTCCCTCTGTGCTCAGGTGTGTGCCCGGCTCTCCACACACCCTGATTCCCGGGACCTGCAGTGAGTCACTTAGAGCCCCAGCCGTGAGGGCCAGTCTCGTCATCCCGGCCCGCGGGCCAGCAGCCAACCAGCCCTGGGCCAGCAGCCCTCCTTAGCGCTGAGCGGTCGCACGTGGCCCACTTGCCCACCCCCTCAGCCCCGAGCGGCCTTTCATTGGACACCACTTCAGTCTAGGGCTGAAGGCCATCAGTGGGACCGTAAGTGGATAGACAGGCCGTGGCAGCCAAGACAAGGCAGGATCCAGGTGCAGAACGGATCAGTGAATGCTGGTCCCTTTGTCCAGCTCACCTCTGTTCTGTCCGGGTTGTAGGAATGTGTGGGGCTGGGAGATCACAGCGCCCTGAATGAGCACAGTGGCCAGGCTTGGGGTGGGTTCAGAACCAGCCCAGAAGGATGAGTCATGTGCAGGGTGAGCTGGTAAATCAGCTCTCCCGGCGGGGTGGCAGGGGGACAGCCTCAATTTGTAGCATTTGGGCAATTTCTGTGGTGTAAACGTTCCCACTGTGGCCCACTTCAGGCTCCCAAGGTGATGTCGCTGAACACACTGAGCTCAGAGTTGGGAAGAGATGCCTATGATCAGCTCTCCCAGCACACCTCGTGCCTCTTCCCTGCCTCCCCTCAGCCCTCGTCTCCCCCTTCCCTATGCAACCACACCTTCTTGCCTTCTGCGGGGTTGAAGTGCTGATATCCCAACTGTCTCTGTTCATAAAAGCCTCCCAAAGTAGGGAACTTCAGTCCTAGCCCCTAGGCAGCTGCCCTGAAACTCTCTGGGAACCTCAGCAATAAAGCACTTTATTTTCAAATTCTGTCTGATGAAGAATTTGGAGCCCCAGCAGAGCAGAGGGGTGTAGGGAGCCCTTGCTTACAGTCCAAGCCAAGCTCCCCTGGACTGCGTTTGTGATTACCTAACCCTGCTAGGCAGGCAGAGCTCCGGGGTGCAGAGTTTAGTTTAGACTAAACATCAGTTAGGTAATCTTTACTTGGTTATCTTTACTCAAACTCGTAAAGGGTTACCTAGGAGGCAGGGAAGAGCTAGCAGGACCTTAGGGGCACATTCACTCCAAGTCCTTTGGTCAGATAGATCAATTGCATTTACACCAGAGGAAGTGACCCCCACTTCCCCAAGCAACTTGCTGCAAGGGGATCCAATGCAGAGTTGTCCCAAGAATTACACCTATGAGAGACCCCTACCTTAGTTGGTACCCTTACCACACACTCCACTGTTACTTCTGGCATTTGGGGAAGTCACATCAGGAAGCAGAATGAGACAAGGTGTGTTCAGAGCCACTACCCGGAGAAACTCAAAAAGCCAGATATTTCCAATTACATCACACCTAGAGGGAGGCTTATTAGTCTGGTCCGGGATCACCGTCTAACAGCACTCTGGTGCAACTAGAATATTACAGGGTCAGAGAGGCCAGGATCTCGGGTCGCTAGGTGGAAGCCAAGTTCCCTTCCCCGTCTCTTGTCTGGGGAATTCAATACGATTAGCACAGGAATGTTTCAATTATGTTTTAGCTGAAACTTAAAAAAAATAAATAACACGATAGAGATATCCCAGAGTCTGTTTTCACAGGAAACGGCTAATTCCCCTCCTTTCTAATATAATTTACCTTGACACTTAAACACAGTCTAAATTTAATCTATACCTAATGCTTTGTCTATTACCCAGACTGAACTTAACCAGCCCCATTTTTAATCCAAGTGACATGCTAAATTGCTACCACGTCAGGCCACAGGTGAGAGAAACTAAAGAAAAGGGGGCTGAAAAGGAGCCTTGAAGGGGCTGGGGCATTGATCAGCTATAAAATGGTGTTTATTCAAACTGTACAAAGGAGAAAGAGATGCTGTGCAGGTGGCTGCCGGCTTAGGGAACACCTGTGTGTGAGCAGAAAGAATCACAGAGGGGTCACTGACCCTGTTAAAGGGAGATTTCAGGAGCCGCTGGTATCAGAGCCAGGAGAGGCCCATGAAATCAGAGAGGACCCTCCCCCGCTCTGGTCCAGTGTAGGCCGTCCTGGCTCACCTGGCTGTTCTTCCCATCCCGGACACCAGGAGCCATCCGTGGCTACGCATCCAGCACGAACACCACAGCTGTTTCTAACTTAGCTGCCCCAGCCACCTGGATGTTTGTTTTTGCCCCATTTTTCCTCCTCTGGGTTACCTCGTAAAAGGTTCTAGGCTAGGCAAGACTGGTCACGTTGAGAGCTTCCCCAGTGGTGCAGTGGTTAAGAATCCGCCTGCCGATGCAGGGGACATGGGTTCAAGCCCTGGTCCAGGAAGATCCCACATGCCGTGGAGCAGCTAAGCCCATGTGCCACAACTACTGAGCCTGCACTCTAGAGCCCACAAGCCACAACTACTGAGCCCGTGTGCCACAACTACTGAAGCCTGTGCACCTGGAGCCTGTGCTCTGCAACAAGGCACCGCAATGAGAAGCCCACACACCACAACGAAGAGTAGCCCCTACTCGTCGCAACTAGAGAAAGCCGGCACGCAGCAATGAAGACCCAACGCAGCCAAAAATAAATTAAAAAAAAAAAAAAGACTGGTCACATTGAATTCTTACTAGGGTTTAAAACAACCAACAGTACAAACCTGCCAGATCCTGCTGGCCTCCCTCGTCTCTTGGGAGACAGGATGTTTCAGATCCTTGGTCTCATTGTTCACAAAAGGGACCCAGATGTGCTTCTTTGGCTCCTCTTTTACAATTAGGTTTTCTTAACATGTTGAAGTGCTTCTCAAAATCACCCCTGGTATCAATATCACCTGGGATATTAAAATGTAAGCTCACAGGCCACACCTCACACCCACTAAGAGTATCTAGGGGTGGAGCCCACTTTCCTGCATTTAACAGGTTCCCCTCAGGAGGTTCTTAGTTGAGGAGAACCCTTGGCCTAGGATTTGCAATTTGGCCAATTAACCAGATTTTCAGAAGATCAATTCCTGCTCAAGGGAACATGTGTGGGCTTGGGAGCCCAGAAGTCAGCAGGTAGCATGCCACCGGGGGCCAGAGCTTCTACATCCATCTCTAATGCTCTTATAGGTACCTATTATACTACCCATTTTACAGATGAGGAAATTTGCCCAATTTGTTAGGAAGTGACAATTTACAATTCAAACCCAAGTCCAAAGTTCTGTTTTTAGCTCTGTCATTCTGCTTTTTAGGCTCCGATGGCTAACCAAAATGTTATCAGTGAAATGGAAGTGGTGAAAATTGGAACAGCCATCAGTCCTGGGGATATGAATGTTACCGAGCTGTCATATAACAGGAACTTTGCCTGGTGCTTTGGTTATTACTAAGACACTTGTAAACTTCATTTCAGATTTTTCCTAGGTATTCTGGAATTGGTAACTCTCCCGCCAGGTGTGAAAGGGGTCCTTTTTTGTCACTGGTCTCTGTGTTAGGAGGGGTCCTCAATTGGCTGTTTTTGTTGATTTTGGCCACGCCGTGCAGCAGGCCGGATCTTAGTTCCCTGACCAGGGATAGAACCCATGCCCCCTGCATTGGGAGCACGGAGTCTTAACCACTGGACTGCCAGGGAAGTCCCAAGGGGTCCTTGATTTGATTCAAGCTAGAGCACAGGTAGTTTATCAAAAAGTATCTGTTCGAAGCCCCAGGAAGCAGATATAATGCTCAACTGGATGCAAATTAGTTCAGCCCAGCACTTGTTGATTAATTCAAGCCAAAGGAGGATATTGGGGGTCTAAATTAGCCGGATCAGTACTGATTTCCTACTTTAATTACATTTTGGCCAAGTCATGTTGGTTGGATTAGCCTGCAGACCTCACTGCCACCTAATAAAACAGGCAAGGACAGATGAAGGAAATAGCTGTAACTGCAGGAGGTAGTGTCTGGATTAGAGGGTGCTGACTCACACTGAGGTCACCAGGGCGGGGCTTGTCGAGGAAAATGACCCTCCCTGTGAAGGTACAGTTTACCTCTTCCTGCAACGTGGCAATCTGGACCCCACTGGAACCCCTTCGTCAGTGCTCAGTAAACTTGCTTAATGGAACCAGGTATTTAAAAATACTCTATATTCGTTTCTTCCTTTTTCTGGGAGTAACAACAGGCCTGGAATTTCCTATTCCAGGAAGGCTGCCTAACATGCTAGAAATGCAGCTGCTTCTTTTCAGGGATGAACGCGACGAGGCAGTAGACAGTGGTTTGGACTTGAGCACTGGCTCTGCCGGTTATGGTCCTTGTTCCAAATTCCAACTCTGCTAAATTATCTGTTGTAGGGTCTGGGATATGCGTTAAGAAATCCAAGGACTAGGTTCTTGTAAAACAGAAATAATGCTAGTATCTGTTTCATAGGGGCTAAATTATGGGGGCTAAATAAGCTACTGTAAGGGAACTGCTTAGTACAGTGTCTGGTACATAGTAACCGCTCAATAAACAGAAGCTCAGTGAGCAGAAACCCAAAGCCCACAGTTCCCCTTGGTCACAGGGTGGGGAATCTCTTTCTACGCCTCAAACCAGCACCTGGTTGATCACCTCTTCTTGGAAGACGATAAGAGGCCATGCAGAGTGGGAAGCCCAGGATGCCACCTGGACCAGCGATAAAGTTTCTTGGTACCATTCACCCCAGGGAAACTCCACCCCACATTTCCCTCAGTGAGGGGAAGAGACCCGTTTTGCCAGTCTGCAGTATGAAAGGACATGAGCTCAGGAATGCCTGCTGGTGAGAAGTAGGCTCTTTTCAGGCCTCTTAATTACATACACTTATGCAGAACGGAGATAAAACCCCTCCGTTGGTTTTTTTTGTTCAAAACCTTCAAGGGAACTCTTAATACCAGCCACCCCGTCAACACAGGTTCCAGACATGCACGATTTTTAAATTACGTTTATTTAGCGTATGTACACATAAAAGAGAAATCACCCTCTGTTCCCACCCAGCAGAAAACATGCACAAACCCAAGGTATACATGAAGGGAAGGGGCCCCGGCCCCAAGTTAGTGGTTGGGATGGTGCAATCCTGTAAGTCACAAGCCCCAGTCAGGAGAGGGCTGGACTGAAGTGTTCGGCGGGCTGTACCCTCTGCTGCTATTCCTAAAATAAGCGTGCGCCGTAGCCAAAGGTCTGTTTGATGCCCTCAAAGTAGTACCGCTGCCAGCCCTGCCGTGTCCTCTCCTCCTCAGGGGCAGGGATGCCTCGGCCTTCCATACACAGCTCAGTCTCTCCATTCTTGTCAATGAAGGTCAAGGTGATGGTGGCAAAGTGCCCTGGGGAAAGGCAAAGGGGAAGGAGGTTTCAGATCCAGGGTTTCCATGTGGGTCTGAGGCTAAGGGGAAAAGAAAAAGTTCTGGGGGCAATGGCAATAAATACATATGCTTACTTACCTTCTGGCCAAGATTTAAACCTCCACTTCATCACAATATGTTTCTCAGGGATCTAAAATAATCAAAGAGGTCAGCCTATACTATAGACTGCAACGTATCCAATCCTAGCAAGTATCACCCATCTGCCTTTCATACGGAGCCCACCATCTGCAGCTGTACTACTGATGAGGACAAAGTGGACCAGAGTTGGTAGCTCCTGCACTGACATCAGCCACAGCCTCTCCTCTTACTCCTAAGTTGGGTCCAGTCACCTGTGCCCACGTGAAATCTCAGTGCCACAAACGGAAAGCCGTAAGCCACCAATGTATCTAACCTCTCTTCCATGTTTGATTTTTCCAGGAAGAAGCAATTTTACCCCACTAAAGAAAAATTTATATGAAAGCAAGAGAATTCAATTGTAGCATTCTTTTGAAAAACAAAATGAGGTTTTACTAACCAAAGAGATTACAGCCTTAAATTTTATCTACAGAGCTGAAAAAGAAAAGGAGGAAATGTTATTCTTCTGACCAGACAAAAGCTATATCCTGGCAAGCACGTACTCACCAGATCAGTGAATTCTCCAGAGACATTGCCATCTACCAGGTGAAACTTGCCACCTTTGTCTGCTTCTAACATTGCAGGAGCATGGGTAAAGGCCTGAACAAGCTGCAGAGCAAAAGGAGGTAAGAAGATGCATGGCTCTCAGTGGGACCCAGGAAAATGCCAGCTGACACCTGTATGCCTCAGCTCTCACTTCCAAAGACACTACTCTGCCCAAGAACCAGGTTTAGGCTCTTTTCTGTTCCACTAGAGACCAGGCTTCGACTCAAGTAACTCTTTCTGAACCTAGGATGCCATTATTTCGAATCCATTTACTTTTCTAACAAGAATGATTCCAGTGGTTCCCACTTACATGACCCAAAACTAGCATAAAAGAGAAAAAAGAAGACGAATCCACTTTGATGAGTGGGTTGAACAAAAGAGTTTTCCCTTTGCCTCTGAGTGTACAAGGAAAGCTTCACGGTTCCACTCAGCACTTCCTCCGCACAATGCGGGGATGTGCCCACAACTCCAGTCACTCGGGACGGCAGATGCCAGGAGCTGGAAGGACAAGACTATACTTACCTCCTGAGTGGTAAAAACTCTATAGAGCTCCTCTGGTGATGTCAGGAAGGTTTCTCTAAGGGTGATCTTACAAGTGGGGATTTTGACACCAACAGGTCTTGCCTGGGTTTTTGAAGGAGCAGACTTAGCCTGTGGATGTGGCAGTGAAATTGTCAGTTTAGAGTAATGGTGAAACCTCAATTAACAGGTCTTCAGGGATAGCCCTGCTATTCATTCTCACAAATTTTTTCACCTCCAAGGCTAATTATTCCAGAGAGTTAGAGGAAATTTATGTGCATGGGCACTTCAGTCAGAAGGAGAACTTTCCCAGAAAATCCTCAATGCCACTCTAGGTGAAAGAAGAGTGACACTCATTTAAAAGCCCATTGCTGAAGGGCACACCAAATCATAAGGTACTTCTGAAGAGCCCCACGTGATTCTCAAGCAGAATTTCTATGCTTAAATAGCTGGAAGCAGCACCCCCAGAATATCCTTCAGTGTGCTGACAAGAGGGCAACAGGGCTGAAAACCAAGTGCTGAACCCAAACCACACAAGTTCCATCTCCAGAAAAAATATTTGCTCACCCTGCAAATGCAGCGAAATCGATCAGTCTCCTGTTAGGTGAAGTTAGTGATCTAAGTAACCCCTGATACCTTGATGACACCTTTAGTATCAAAGTATGAAATGTAGACATAATACTTAAGATGCATATAGGTGAAGACCACCCTGCGTTCATAACCTCCTCACTGGGGTTAAACGCAACAGTCGGACTCTGAAGTCCCTGATGGCTTCCATTTGCTCTAAGGGGTCTGTTATAAATGAATAAACACCAGGTTAAAGATGGGGAGACAGACAACTACACT